AGTGTGAGTACATGAGAGTGTATGAGTGTATGTGAGTATGAATGTGTGAGTGTGAGTATGGATGTGTGAGTGTGCGTGAGAGTATGAGTGTGTGAGAGCAAGCGTGAGTACATGACAGTGTATGAGTGTATGTGAGTATGAATGTGTGAGTGTGAGTATGGATGTGTGAGTGTGCGTGAGAGTATGAGTGTGTGAGAGCAAGCGTGAGTACATGACAGTGTATGAGTGTATGTGAGTATGAATGTGTGAGTGTGAGTATGGATGTGTGAGTGTGCGTGAGAGTATGAGTGTGTGAGAGCAAGCGTGAGTACATGACAGTGTATGAGTGTATGTGAGTATGAATGTGTGAGTGTGAGTATGAGTGTGTGAGAGTGAGTGTGCACAGACTGGAGAGCTGAAGAGAACGAGGCAAGAGAGGAAAAGCTGGCAGAAAGGAGCGGGTGCACAGGGTCTGCACTGCTGCGTGAAACCGGAAGCTTTGCAATTTCGACATGAAAACTTGAAGGTACACATGAACAAAATGCAATGTAGTAAAATAGAACGTAGCTACCGGGGTGGAGGCGACGAGGAAACCCCGTGCGACAGTGTACAGCGCGAAGAGCACACGTAGTGGGACACCGCAGACAGGACTGAGGGCGCCGACTCCGCCAGAGAGACCGCGTGCTTAGAGAGAAGAGCTACATGAGGATAACCCCCCCCCGCCCCGTTTCTTAGAATAAACGCACACGTCTTGAGATAAAATTCATCATCCACCCGCGACGCATTCTTCCAGCAGTCCAGGCGGAGGTTCCGGTGTGCACGGAGGGTCTGCAGTGAACGCCACGCGAGGGGTGCACGTGTGTTTCCTCCTGATGCTGGGACCGAGACAGGGCTGCCCTCCCCATGCCGGTGAGGGTTGCATTAAGGTCCCCGCCAGGGCAGCAAGGAGAACAAAAGACAGAGGAAATCCGAGGGCGTGAGCACGGCCCAGTGTTCTCAGACGGCGGATTACGCATTTATAACCCAAATAAGGGACGCCTTCGGAATCTGCAAGTGATCTTAGCACATTTACTGAAATCAAAGCCAGCGCGCCAACAACGGGATTCCTCAACACCAAGAACAGTTAGAAAGTGAAACCTCTGAAGACACCGTTTCCCGAGGGCCACCCCGAATGCACCCGAGTAAATACCAGGAATCGTGGACCCCGAGGCACAGCCCTGGTCTGAGAGCAGCCGTGGCCTTCCTCACCTCTGATCCAGCTCGTCCCGTCTCAGAGGTGAGAACTCCCCCCACGTCCCCCCGCCCAGGGACGTCCCCCCATCGCCTGGTCACGAAGAGCTGAGGCAAGGGCTCCTCGTCTGCTCGTCCCGCTGCCTGTCCAGCCTCAGAGACCGTCCACAGACACCAGCCACCCGGCAGGACGGCAGCCATGCGGGGACTCAGGAAGCCCTGGCGGGAGCTGGGCCAGCGCGGGCTCCTGGGGGGCTGTCAGGAGTGGTGGGGGGGGGGGAGGGGGCAGGAGTGAGGGTGAAGGTAAGGCCGGAGGGGCGAGTCCCCGGGGAAGCCGCCCAATGTGCACCTGCTGTGTCCTTGAGAGCAGGTCGACCTTTCCGGGGTGTTTGGTGGGGCCTGCTGCCAGTGTCCCGTCCCCAGCTAGAGATGCAGGCCCCTCCCCAGCCTCTACCTCTCATCTCACTGAGGCAGGAAACAGCAGCCGCGGACAGTCTTGTCTCGGGGCGCAATGCGCCTTACTTTCTCTTGAGAGAGATTTTTGTTATAGGGCACATGTGAGAGACAGAGAGACAGAAAGCCAGAAGTCACCTTCCGGGGGGACGGCCACACCACAATCACTTCTCCTCATTCTCTCAGGATCTCGGGCATTCTCTCAGGATCTCGGGCACGCATGCACACGCCCAGTGTGAGTTTCAAGCCTCTGGGTCCAGGACTCGAATTGTGGTTGGCCACATGGGAGTCCAGCACCGTAGCCGCTGTGCCACCTGCCGGCCCCTCGATTGCACTGTGCCTTCTTAGACTAGGCAGGAAACTGTCCTCAAAGCTTCACTGTGAGAGGCCGCCTCTGGCCCTTCCCCACGCCCCAAGTGTGTGACTGGACATGCCCACAGCTGGGGGCACCCCAAGGTCCGCGGCCCGTGGAATAAGTAACAGTAACAGAGAAGCCCGAGATCCTACCCCACACCTACTCTCCCAGCCATCTTGGTGACCCCTGGCGCCTGCCTGATCCCCACAGAATGGTGATTTGCCAAGTTCTCCACCAGAAGGCTGAAGCATTCTTCACTTTTACCCCCCAGCCCACCCCACGAGAAGAGAGCAGGGAGGAGGTGAGAGAGCTCCTGAGAGCACCTGGCGGAGCGGTCACGCCACAGCCCTGTCTCCTTCCGCGTTTGCGCTTTGGGCACGTGCTCCTGCTGTTTCCCAAGTCGCCGGGTCCGGGACTCAAACCTCAGATGCCACGTGAGGGCCAGCTAGCCTAACCAGCAGGCCACGGCCGGTCCACCGCTGCCTGGTAATGTTTGCCGTGTGTGATTCTTGGCTGAATGACAGGTTTTTCACCCCACCCCAAGACTACAAAAGAAGGGTAAACACATTTCTAATTAAAAAAAATCTGTTTTCGTTTTACATCAACTTATTTTATTATGGTCTATAAATACAGCTTTATATATTAAATCATTTTAGAGTCCACGTTTGAAGGCACCGCGTCTCCAAAGGTAAGGACCCTATGCACTTTGTGTTCTAACTTCAAACACGGAAACTAACGCAGCCAGCTCGAGTTTGAATTTGCAAGCCTAACTTCAGTAGAATAAATCAAGTAACCCCAGGAACCCGTGAGGAATCAACGGGCTGCGGCTGTGTAGCCCTGGCCGGGTTTGGTTCCCGTGTGCTCATTCTCACTCTGCATTGGCCTCACTCGGGAAGCCCAGCTGAGGGAAAGTCACCTTCCTGGAACATCACAGGCTGTGCACAGAGACGCCGGCTCCCTAACCCAGACAGCCCCAGCTGCGAAGTGCTGGCCCTCAGGTCCGGAGCCGCTTGCTGAGCAGCGAGTGTCTGTCTGTGCACGCCCCGTTCCTCTTGGTGCTGGGATTCTCGCTGGAGCCGGCCGAGCTGCCGCTGAGCCCGTCAGAGCACGCCTCTGGAGCCTGCAAACCAGACAGGTGCTGAGCGTCAGCGAGCCCCGGCCTCCGCCCCCCGTCTCTGCAGGGCCAGCCGGCACTGCGACAGGGTCCGACGCGTCGGGCAGCCCCGGCCTCCGCCCCCCGTCTCTGCAGTGCCAACTCGGGGGGCCGCTGAGCGTCGGCGAGCCCCGGCCTCCACCCCATCTCTGCAGTGCCAACTCGGGGGGCTGCTGAGTGTCAGTGAGCCCCGGCCTCCGCCCCGTCTCTGCAGTGCCAACTCAGGAGGCCCCGACCAGACGAGAACTCCGGGAAGGCCGGATGAGCAGTATCAGCGTTCCGCTCTAAGCCATTACCAGGACGGTCTCTGCCACAGTCATGTGACATGTGAGCACAACAGAATTCCAGGGCTCTAAGTCGAAATGTCAGTAAAAGCACGCGTCAGGCGTGCCACCTGGAGTGGCTTTCCTGTGTGCACTCTCCCAGGAGGCCCTTCTCAGAGCTCAGTGTGCTTTGTACAGCCATGGCTCTGTCCTACACTCCGCGGCTGCCCGTGGGTTTCAGATAAACCAACGTCTGCGGCTAGCCCGGCTGGGTCCCAACGGCAGTCCCCTCAGCAGATCTGCCCTTGCTCGAAGGGGCGAATGTTTTTGAGTCAGGAAGGATTTTGCTGACTGCAGGGACGGAGTGTCCTCCGTGCAACGAAGTCACAAACAAACAGCTTACGCAACAGTCTCTCCAGTCCTGAGAT